TGGTATTCCATCCGGCCCAACGGCCTTTCCGTTCTTCATACCTTGCACTGCTTTCTTTACCTCATCCACACTAATCTCTTTCACTATACCATTATTTGAAGTAACGTACATTTAAAAAATTATAAAATTACCTGATAACGAATTGTTCCCTTCAGATTCTGGATCCAATTCCTTCTCTTCCGGTTTTATTTCATTATTCTGAAATTTCATAATTTCATTAATCAAAAGAACATTTGAAAGTATAGAAAAAGCAGTGAAAAGAGAATTTGTAATGCTTGCATTTGTAATAAACTAGTTGTTCAACGAGTTTTTACGTCTCAAGCCATTAGAAAAGAGGAAGAATTTAAATTATTTGAAATTAGAACACATTGTCAATGTCATCGTATTTTCTATGTCTTTTTGTGTTCATATTTTACCAATACACATGTCTCCATTAAAAATAATTTTATATCTAAATCTTTTACGATATACACTTGTAATTCTCCAATTATTATATTCAGAGGAAACATTCTAAAGCTTGTAAAGACTACAATTTTTTTTTAAACATTTCGCTAATAAAACATATTAAAACTAACCTCAGAATCAGTATTTTCTATTTGTTTGGTTTCCGTGTCCCGTTTCAGTGCTGACTCCACATCACAGCCTGAATCTAGTACCCACAGTAAAATCAGCGTATGCAGATCCAAAGCGTCATCTTGTTCTCTGAAATTGTTATAAAACAGTCAGTTACCGTACGTTTCCATTGTCAAAATAATCGTGTTAATATTCTATTGGTTTTTAATTGTAAAAACTTACTCTTGTTTGTTCTTCTTCTGCGCTGCCATATGTTGTTCTAAGTGCGTCATGTGGTACACGTAGTTATGAATCTCTAATGCACTTAATCTGAAAAAAAAAAGTATAATAAAAAAAAGCCAGATATATAAAGTATTAAAACAAAAGCTTATCCGCAAATAAAATAATCAAAATTTAACAAACAAACAGATAGCGAGGGAAGAACATTGACGAAAAAACAAAATGTCGGCAATGCGTGCATGTGTACCATTATTATATTGTGTTGCGTACATCGCTTAGTATATAAAATATCCAGATTTCGAAAATATCGAATCCTAGTATACAAAAGACTTTACGTAAACTAACTTCAATTATACTCTACAACGTGTGAAACAGGTATCTATTTTGATGACTAGCCGTTGCTCGCGACTTTGTCTGCGTCAAATTAGAAAATAATAAAAACATACTGATAACGCAGCTTTTAGATGGTAAAAGAATTTTTGAAATCCAGTAGTTTTTGAGTTATTTTAATACATACAAAAATACAAATCTTTCTATTTCATAATAATATTAGTATAGACAAATCAGTGTCAGTATTCTACCTCTTAGCGTCGAGCGTGTAGTACATAGCGAGCGCGGCGTGTCCGTCAGGGGGACAGCAGAGGTAGCGGCGCGTGCAGTGCTTCACGTCCACCAGCCACGCCGGGAACGAGTGGTGGAAGATGGACAGGAAACCGGTCGACCGCTCCATCACCAGGATCCTGAGAACATAGACAGTAATTAATTCAAGAAAAGAAGGTCAAGGTCAAAAAAATAGCATTTGCTTTTGATTGACTTGACTTGACTACTGGTGTAAAATGTGTGTGTTGTCTAATATTACAAATGCGAAAGTTTAGATAGATGGATGGATGGATGCTTGTTATAGTATATGTTATAGTATATGTTATAGTATCTAGCCTAAACGACTAAACGGATTTCGATGAGATTTGGTATAGATGTAGAGGATAGTCTGGAAGAACACAAGCTATTCACTTTTGTTTTTTACATTTCACTCGGATCGAGTCGCGGGCAAAAGCTAGTTATACAATTGTTTCTCATACAGTGAATTTTGTAAATTAAAAATATCTTAAATAAACTCATTGGGGAGCATCACCAGAACACTATCTTGGATATCTCAAGGCATAGTGTGATGTTTAAAAAGCCATACCTCCTTAGAAGATGCAGTCTTCTATTGAAGTCTTCTCTCGTGACGCTGTATTCCTTGGTGAGCAGGCACTTGTACAGCATCTCCTCGGTGACGCCGCAGCGCGCCGCCAGCAGCACGTCCAGCAGAAGACGGACCTGAAAAACATGTTTATTTTAAGTTTGCACTCACAAAACATTCACATAAAACATGTGAAAATACTGAGATCTTACATTTTGAGAACAGCCAAGACTAATTTTCTTGTTACCATTAAAAGGCCTGCCTCTAATACTAGGTTACCATTATAAATCTACTTTAAGGGACACTTAGTGATCCCTTAACGACTCTGAGTGTGACTAATATTAGATTCATTCATATCTACCTTAGTGAATCGCCGTCCATGGAATAGCCTCTGTGCTAGCCATAGATACAACCCGTTGAGGGTTCCTGGTATCTCTCTTATCTCTCGTAATGCTATAAAACCATCCGCTACGCCATCTAACACCTACAAAAATAACATTAATTTTAGTATAAAAACACGTTTAATTTAATTTATATTGTTTTAGACAATATAACGGTATGAATATGCGCATTTTGACTAAACTATCGCACAACTGTCGTGCGATTGTTGATTTTTTTCACAAATTAAACTGTTTGTAGCAGTAGTGTGGGCACCTCCATATAAGCTTACAGGAATCAAAGCAAGACACAGTTGTACGATAGTTTCGTCCAAGATGTACGCGCACTCTAACAATTTAATTGTATTTCGATATTCAAACTACTGATTCCCGTCAGAATAGCGCGCTTTTATCTTTCTCAATGACATTGACAGATGTCATAGGGATGGGATATGTATGATAATAGATAGTATACCTTTTCTAAGTAAAGCAGGCAGCCATCACTTTTAATACGGAGGTGGTCGAGTGCCGCCGCAGCTGCTGCTGCTGCCGCAGAGTCGCTTGACACGCGAGCTCTATGACAAAACATCCTCAGTTTGTTTTGACGAATTCATACTCATTTATTATATATATATTCTTATTATCCAAAATGTTCACAGAATACGTATAAGTCATTTCAAATATCTGAGCGGATCAAGATCATCACTGCGCAGTATCAATCTCACTGTACTTTACACCTAGATACATCTGAAGTTGCATTTTTCGCAGCGACTCAAACGATATTTCCAGGATTCAAAACATTTTACAATTACTAAACCACATTTATTGGTTGGAAATCGAGATAAAAGTTTATGCTTACTGGCTGAATTAAATAAAAAATTGTTAAAACCTTTTAATATAATAATAACAATTTAAAAAAAAACCTTAGTTTTGGTTCCGTATCAAGCCGCGCGAGCACGTAGCGCTGCACGTCCGCGGACACGTGCGCACGCTGCAGCTCGTCCAGTGTTATCTTACGGAACCCTGCAATGTCAACAAGAAATCCGGTGTCACGTCACGTTAATTTACGTTACGTCACGTCACGCCACGTCACATCACACACGATGACTGTCATTTGTCACTTTTGCAAAGGGAACAGCTGATAATCTTACTGATATTATAAATGCAGAAGATGGATAGATGGATGTTGTTAGAGTTTGTAGCCTAAACTGCTGAACGGATCTCGACGATTGTAATGTATGTAGATAATCTGGAATAGAACATAGGCTACTATTGACCACAGAAATAGTTACGGTTTTCATGGGATTTATAGTATTTTGTTTTCCATGATTCGTTTTTTAATACTGCGCGAACAAAGTTACGGGCAGCAGCTAGTGATTGTCAAATAAACATTGAAGCAATTGGCTCTTGCAACAAGACCTGTGAACATCTTGGTGAGGCCCTTGCAGTGGCGCCTCGCGGTGCAAACGAGTAGCAGCCAGTGCGGCAGCAGGTGCTGGTGGCGCGCCAGCAGCGCCGCCACGCTGTCCGAACTTTCGCTTTGAGTCTGACCTGGTAACAAATATACACATCATTCCTTGTCCCTATGAGGGTCGGCAGAGAGTCTCTTCCATACTATCAATGGTCATATTTAAATTCTCTCCCTTAAGCATCTCAGTCACACAAATCAAAATTTCTTCGGTCTTCTCTACCTATGTAGCTAAATTACCTCTAATACTTTTTTGTCTTTGTGATACACAAAAAAGTAGTAGTGGTAGTAGTAGTTTTTTGTTTTTTTAGAGGATATGCTCAAGAAAGGAGTGGATTCAGATATGACGGCTGATAGAAATGTATGGAAGAGCAGCACATACTGTGCCGACCCTCCGTAGGAATAAGGGCAAGTTGGTGATGACTTTTTTGTCTTTGTGAATCACAGAATAGCATAGCATTACTAAAATATAGCTAATATGTATGGATGGATATTTGTTACTACATATCTCCAAAAAGACTAAAATTTAACATGCAGAAGATTGTATATTTTTAAAATATAATGTTTAAAATAAATTAAATAATTCAATAAGATAACAAAAATAAATAAGTAACATATAATAAATAGAAGATAGAATAACAAAGATTGAGGGAAATCTACTCACCACTTACAGATCCTTCATCAATAGCATCGACTAGTAAAAACAAACACTGCTTTGGCGGATCAATCTCTAGCAACGGGAACAGAAGGGCCTTTTTAAAGCATTCATCTGGATTCTTCTCTAAATTATGAGGTAACAACGCTTGTTGTATCTCCGGTTCTGACAGAAGTTTATCATAATATGCATTAGCTATCAAAGTCCGAGGACTGACAGGTAAACTTGGTATAGGAGGAGGCATATCTTCGTTCTCCGATCGCTTCTTTTCTAGTAATTTCTCTATATTAATTTGTTCATTCACTTCCTCTTGTGTTAATATATTTTGGTACTCCGGTAGTTCGGAATCCGCTTTAGGTGATACTGGTCTATCTTTTTTATCATCTAACCGTTTAAGTGGTGAGTTTTCATTTGAATTAGGACGTAATTCACTTTTATTCGGATATCGGAAGTTAGCGACAGGTATCCGTGACTTCGGGGGGCTATTTTCAACTTTAGGCTTCTCACTTTCACTGGAACTTTCATTCTTTTGTTCCGTAGATAGACTTTTCTGTAACAATGTCGGCTTCTTATCCGTCAAAGGTTCGGAGCTTTGACGTAAAAGTCGAGAATTTCTCATCTCTTTGGATTGACGTTGAGAAATGTTCCGCAGAAATAGATTCTCGTGATTTTCGTACAGACGGAAATCGGGATTGTTTTCATCGTTTATGAAAGGATTTGTTGCTTTCACATTCGAACGGGGCAAGATTTCTGGCAACTGTGAAAAAAATGAACTTCATTTTATTCAGAACATAGATATATATAAATAGATAGGCGTTTTGTTATAAATTACAGCTTTTGATTTGTTCTGAATTAAACACGCCTTTTGGTGTCATAAAAATATATAACTGTGATTAGTTCAAAAACTCTTCGAAAACCGCAACTAACTGCTGTTTATAGGCTATCCGTTTACAAAGATCAGTGGCTCATGATCTTTATTTATCTATCAATTCAACTGTTTAGTTGCCCAACTAAAAATCGAGTAGTCTGCACCGCCATATAAGCTCAAAGAAATCACAGCGAGACTAAACAGTTGTGCGATAGTTTATTCAAAGATGTGCGTGCTCTTGGTCTATATGTAGTCAAAACAACTAACATCATCAGTATGTGTGAGCGCTGCATCGACGTCATGTTGCAGGGAGGCTGAGGGCATAGAGTCGGTGTATGTGTCGCGTTCGTGAATGCGGTCTATAGTGCGTGCGCGCCGCCCGCTGCCGCACTCCTCTTCATCAGTACGCTGCTCCGCTACAAACATACATACTTTTAAATATATACTATTATAATAAAGCGTAAACACAAACTTCTTTGTTGCCTAATATCAGCAATTGCAGCATATTCTTGAATAATCCTTTTTTTTCATTAAAAAGCCCTACACTTTGGTCACGCTTTAGGCTATATATTTTCACGCCATTAAACTTAGGGGGTAAACATTTTGGATGAAAACACTAATGTGGGAAAGAGACCATAAGTTGCTGCCAACATCTAGGAAGCAAGATTTGTAAGTTTGTCTTGTCATGTCATTTTGACATTTGGTATTAATAATTCGACAAATGTAAACAAAAAATAAAATTTTCATAATTCCATGCGGACGAAGCTGCAGGGGAACAGCTAGTAATAATATGATAAAGCATAAACACACACTGCGCTCGACAATCGGCACAACACTAGATTCTAGTCATATACGTCTCGTCACTATGACATCTGTCAATGTCATTCAGACGTTAATACGCTAACTCCCGCCGGAATGATGCGCGATACGAATGTATACTATTCAATAAAAATCCCTAGATTTACGACATTTTAGGCTATACATTTTCACACTATTATATTCAGGAAGTAAATCGTTTGGAAAAAACTAATGCGTGAAAGGGACAAAAACTACAAGTCAATAGCAGCAAGGTTGCCATGGTAACGGTAACAATGTCAAATGCCTTAGTTGTCAATTTTGATTTTGACATTTGTTATTGAAAGTTTTACAAATGTAAACAATAAAATAACGTTTTTATAATTTCATGCTGATGGAACTAGAGACCAGCTGTTAGAACAGTTACACATCAAATTACTAGAAAACGCCAAGTTAGTTGCCATCCAAATTTCATAGAAATGTCATACCTTCGCTATCAGCAAGTAGAGGCTTGGAACTCTCTTCGCCATCGTCCCCCAGTTCACTGAATCTCTGTATTAACCGCTCTTCTTCTGAATTACGTCTGAAAAATTAAAACATAAATGTATAAAACCTAATTTAAGTCCCTTTCCACCCTTTTCTTAAGAGGAAAGGATGGGAAGGAAAAGTGGATTGCCCGGTAGAGGAGACGCATAGGAAGGGGAAATGTTCTCTTTATGTGCATCTCCTCCTCCGTCAATTAAAGGTAGGCAACGCATCCGCAGTTGCAATTGCGGATGTTTATGGGCAGCGATCGCTTTCCATTTCGGTGGATTGAGGTGGCCTCTTGCTCGTTTGCCATCTTATATTATAAAAAAAACTATAAGACGTATCAATAACCCAACCAGATCTTTTCTTGTGGTCTTCGATGATGTTCAGAAAATTTTAGTATAAAAAATAAAGTATGATAATCATACTTACAATGGCAGTCTAGTAAACTTTGTCAGTTTTTTAGGTACAAACATATATCGTTAGAGGAAATTACCTATTAGTGAGGGGCGTGGAATCATCTCTCGGCGACTGATCGCGTTCAGCGTCAGTCCGCGGCCGCCGCGAAGAGTGACTTAAGATCTGCATTGCCACGGAACGGACGAACTCTCCGGGACGAAGACTGTTCTCATTGTCACCCTGAAATACATATAGAACATATATTGTAGGACACCGGAAATTGAATCAGCTGTTACTCTCTCTTTAAGCTAACCTGAATGAAAAAGATCTATCTGGCAAGCTGACAGTCATTCAATTATGATTTACTGTATATTTCCACTGCTGAATCTAAACTATGGGCTCATTGAGACACTCTGAGTGTAGCAGTTTGTAGGTATGTTTAATTTTTACTTGTATATGCTTGCATGGCAATATTACCTGTACAAAGTATCTAGCCAAAAGTCTCCTGTTCAAAGCTCGCTGCTGCCGCGCCTGCGGTCCTTGCCCGGGCTGGCTCAACTCCTGACAGAGCGCTGTCTTACCGCTCCCAGCATCACCTGCAAAAATCATTACAACATTATATTAACACGTTCAATGCCATCTGTTTCTAGTCTCTCTTTGTGGGAAAGCAAAATTAGGTAGGATGACGAGTCATTTAACAAATTTATAATGCTCTTACCCAGTATAAGGGCTCCGCACGTCTTACTAACGGGTCGTTGTTCAAGACAGTGTGCTATCTTCTGGAAGGCCCATTCCCTGCAGAAGAACCGCCGCTTGTCTGTCGTTATCGTTGCCTCCGTGACTTTATGCGCGGACGAGGACTTACGCACTGGCCTACTGGAATCTTTATCGTGAGCCCGCGATGCTATCGGACTTAATGGAGTACCTGAAAATATATTCAAATAGTGCTTTCTATAAATTACTAGCTTTCTCCCGTGACTCCGTCCGCCTAATTAAAAACACGAAAGTAAGTAGCCTATGTGCTCTTCCAGACATTCCACATCTATGTCATATTTGATCGAGATACGTTCAGATGTTTAAGCTACAAACATGCAACCATCTAAACTTTCACATTTATAATATTAGTAAGAAGTAAGATAAATTTCCTATTAATTTTTCTTTACTTATTCAGAAAGATACTTAACACCTAGTTTAAATGAAACCAATTGTGTAAAAGCTCGCAATTTACTTTACATTTTTCTACACTATGGAAATGAAAATAGCTCTATTGTACTCATTCGCTTTGTTTTAAAAAGAAGCGGCAAATTTTAAAGCTTCCGGCTTAAGCTACCGGTACATTTGTCCTCGGGTAATAATGAATGCAGAGCAGTCAAAAGGTTTGAATTGAGTTAAAATTTTTGTAAGCTGTTACATTTTATATTTATCTAACTTGAATATGAATAAAATAAATTCTTACCGTCAAAATCAAAATTGTCTCTTTCTCTATCTTTGTCCCTTTCTCTCTCACGCCGATACTCCCTAGAGCCATCTCGTTCTCTCTCAGGAAAGCCCCGATGCCTGTCCGTCGGCGTTCTATCGTGGCCTCGAGGTGTTGAAATTTCATTCAAAGGAAGCGACCTGTGTTTCATTAATCAAAATTACATTCGTATCGAAAGTTAATTTATAGTCTACAGGGTATAAGTAGTAATATTTACCTTAGATTGACTCTGTGCTCAGCTTGGCGTACAGCGGAATGCCTGTGCTGCTGCTGCCGCATACTGACTTGATTCTGCCTCAAATAAGCTTCAACTTTTCCCTCACTCGAGTCGTTCTTCCTCCTCGATCTACTAGTTTCTTCCTTCCTTCTCGACTCCCTTTTCTCCAACTTCTCAATTCTGTTCTCTAAAGGCGCATTCATCAACTGTATATTACCGCCATGGTTGAAATTCAAAGGATCAAAGTCCGCCCTCGCTAGATTCTGTCCCCTCGACTCCCGTGTGGCCATACCTTTAGAATTCTTCCCTCTGAACTGAGATTTCGGCACTACCTGACTATAAATCGGCATTTGATTCGACATCTTAGACTAGCTTTGGTTAAGAAAAATATATAATTTCGTATTTCGTTTCTATCGAGACCCTATATACTTTTTTAAATATTGGCTTTGGTTTACTAATTGACGCTAAAACTAGAGGAACCCGGGGCTTTTAGGAAGCAAATGAAGAATTAAAATAAAGCCCTAATCGTGTATCACATTCAGTGTGAGGTTCTGCGGAGATTCAAGTCATGATACGTGAATAGGGTCCCTTTCCTTCGCTTAGGTGCAGTAACAGTCGTGACGTAGGATTTTCTTGGCACATCATGTAGCACGTTACTCGACCTGAAACAAAAAAAAACAAAAGATTTTTTTCTCTCTTAGCAAGAAATAATGACCTGGATTTTATAGTGCATTAACAGGAAAAGGCATCACACGAGCTTACGCTATCAAGGACAACACTTGAATATTCAGATGGGATCTTTGTACGCTTTAGGTCTTTGACACGTTCTGAATACGACTTAATGGCCTAAGCAAAAAGGCTTTACAACGCACACGATCTTAAGAAGCGGTGTAAAGTAGACCAAGCGCCTGGGTTTTACGTAAAGAAGGATAAAGTATACAAGACATGGATGAACATAACGATGTATTTTAAAAATGAAACATAAAATCACCAAAATTGATCTCAAAGTCAATGATATCATTTCCCTGGTCCGTATCCTACTCACAAAGGTTCGAGACGCAACATTTTATAAAATTAAAAACAAATAAGTCTATTTTACACAAACATTATATATCTTAAATCTGTGTAAGTATACTGCGCTCAAGCACAGGTAACGCTTGAACTATATTTTGAAAAAAGCGCAAAGAAAACCGAAAATACCTCAAAAAATGCAAATTACTTTCCGGAAACTTTCTTGGGTTCGTTAAAATTTTCCGCATTCTCGTTATCGTCTTACAAGTTTAATTAAATACTTTTTCATCTCTTCATCGTAGACGTGCTCTACAAAATTTATGTGATAATACCATTATTTTAGGGTTACCAAAAATTCAAAACTTCCCGACCATACACCGCCTGGCCTTATGAGTTCATTTACATACATAAAAAACGTAGTGGCATAATGTTAAATTAGTGGCTTTTATTCATTTTATACAAATCATTCTTCATATACTATAGTTAAATTAATGTTCATGTCAAAAGTTAATTTGACAAAACGGTACAAATGAGCCGGTTAACGTGTGTTCGTGATACGTCAACATTACACAACGGGTGCCAGCAGTATTTTACATTCAAAATACAACTGTAAAACCAGTGTGATAGAGTCGTTTTTGTAATGTAACTGAATTCGTCAGCATAGGTAAGTGAATTTCCTCCTTAATTCTCAATTGCCGGAAGCTCTACGGTTAAGGATCAATGTAAAAAGTTTTAGCATTGCTATTGCAATGACAACTCTATGTTGTATTAATAAAGTTTAAATTAATTTGCTAACGGTCACCCTAAGCACACCACCCCTAGTCGTGTCTGGATTTTCCACGCGACGAATGAAAACTTTAAAGGCGTAATTTTGTTGTACAAGTTCTCACTTAGGGTAGGTCTTAAATACGTTGAATTTGTGCATAAAAATTTTTTCTAGGTCGAAATGAAACTTTTATATTACGAAATGTACTTATAAAACTTATTCGCATACCTCGTAGTCGGTAGAGGGTAAATGTAAAATGGGATTATAGGTTTTTTAATAGAATTAAAGTAACAAATGATTTAATTCCTTCTAGAGTCATCTACTGGGTATGTATAGGAACCATTATATGCATACCAACCTACACTTATACAGCATAGTTGGCTATGGTCTTGTCACCCCTAACTTAGGGGATAATATAGGATAACTTAATGATATATACGCAAAATTTTGATCTCTATTGACGTATTATTTAAGAAAAAATTATGTGCTTACTGTAACAACACGATATATCCAATATCCATAGTCGATGTGACTTGACCCAAAAAGGTTTAGCAGCCCTTGCTTTGTTCTTGGGCGGATCAATGTTGTGTAACAAACATAAGAAACTTTTCCTCAATTACATATTTGATGGATGGATTCGTAAGCTATCGACTTATTGGCGTATGGTCCGGATGTTTACTGCCAGGCAATAAATCTTACTACGGATACAAGGACATTGCCATTGTCGGCTCAATTTGTGATCTATTTTACGCAAATTTACGTAATATTATACGAAGAAAAAAATAATTCAACCAAGAATACCCATAAACACATTTGCAACAAAACACAAGTGTAAACTCGGTTTTTTTAATATATCATCACAGCAAAGGAATGGAATAAGCTGTCCACGTCAGGTTTCCATCTTTTTTCTAGCCTTCGAGAAAAGTTTGAATGGGTACTTATAAATTAACACGTAGCATCCTTCGATCACATGAACACGTATGGTTGGGAGTTGGGATCGTAGTCAAGCGCTAGTTTATACATCATAAAAAACGTTGTTTATTGTAAATGCATTTTATAAGAATCGTTTTAGAATATTTGTTCAATATCTAGTTATCATATCGCGTAACAATAATACAGGGCAATATTTAGACAACCGACTATCAGTTGTTGAGGCCGTATAAACCTTTAAGGTATAAACAATGACGAATACGACTAAACCATAGACAATAGTATACAAACTATATTTATCAACAATTACATATGATCATATAGTATGTTTAACAAACACAACATCTCTATGTAATCAATCTAATCTATACTCACATTATAAAGAGGAAAGATTAGTAAGTATTAAAAAACTCAAAAACTACTGAGCTGATTTCAAAAAGCTATGTGTCACACACACAAGTAACTATATTCTATAACGCTAACTACAGGCTATATTTTATTAATTTGAGACAGAGCCGCAGGCGACAGCTAGTTTTACAATAAAATTTTAGTAGCATTAAAAAACGTATTATCGAAAGTAAATTGTTCGCAGTAAAATATAACATAAGACTCTCTTACTTCACTTAAGTTATTTTACACCCTCGAATCTATAAATTATTCATAAGTGAATTAAGATAAGTGCCTATACATTGCCAACTTAATATTGATTAAACGATATTTTCTCCTATATACTGTTACAAATACATATATTACTGTTAATTGCTGACCAGAATGCAAATTATCTTCTCCAAAAGGATCTGACCTCAGACATACATATAAAAGTTGCAGAAATAATCTTTTACTATAGTATAGCCTAACCAAGTATATAAAATCCTAGTCTTCAAATACATTTACATTAGATTAGATTCAGATTTTTCTTTAAAATAACGAGGGTTTTGTATTTCTGGACAGACTATAAAAATGTATTCCAAGCAGACAGAAATTATGAAGAATATTCGGGGCAAAATATTGTTTATGATAATTCAAAACAAACGAAGTCGTGCATCCTGCGACTGGCGTTTGTTTTAATCTATAATATTATAATAAAGCGTAAACACACACTTCTTTGTTGCCTAAGATGTCAGCTATTACAGCGTATTTTTGAATAATCCTTTTTTTAATAAAAAGCCCTACACTTACGTCACGCTTTAGGCTATGTATTTTCACGCCATTAAACTTAGGGGATAAATATTTTAGAAAAAAACCCTAATGAGGAAAAGAGACCATAAGTTGCTGCCTACCTCAAGGTAGCAAGATTGCCAAGGTTTGTTATGTTATGTAATTTTGACATTTGCTATTGATAATTTGACACATGTACACATTGAAGTTTTCATAATTTTATGCGGATGAAGTCGCACGAGAACAGCTAGTTTATGATAATTTTGCATCGGTTTATGCTCAATGTGGTGTGGCCTGGTCTTAAGTATGTTATTGTACCATGGTATAAATATTTATGTGTAACTGTACTAGGTCAGTCCGAACACTCGTCACGCTAAGCTAACGACACGGTTTCGATGCTACACCTCAAGCATATAAAATTTACTTGATTATTTACGAATTATTGCGAAGATAATACCTAATTTTATATCCTCTAATATAGTTTTTTTATCTTATTTTCTTATTGAATTAAATATAAACATGCATTACAAAGCAAAATGATAAAGCCCGCTAGACACAATCAGTTCCTAACATCTGTATATCGGGCTTTAGTCATTAAAGACCTTCGATCATTATTTTTATACGTGGCCAGTAAAAAAAAACGCTTAATTTATTGACAACTACTTTAGATTAAAATCCGTTTTAGCAGATTAATTCGACTATCCATAGTATTTCAGATATTGTTAAATCTAAATAAAGAGGAAAGATTTGCATTTTTTATTTATTAAAATAACTTAAACTATTGGCCAGTTTCAAAAATTTTTACACTAGTAACATTTAACAGCATTTTTAATTCCACGCGGACCAAGTCGCGAAACACAGTTATTATCCTCTAAACTATGTAGTTTAAACAGTAGCTCAGTACAAGAGTACTATCGTAATGTTAACAGACAGTCTACTATTGCGCTTCTAAATTTAGATTTTTCCATTTCACATAGTTGCGGAGTGTTACGCGATGCAAAAATCGTGCGATATTTGCATAGAGTATAAACACAAATAGGTGTATTGCGATAAATACTTGACTATGAGAGAATAATGCTTTGCTTTGTTATTAAAAACCGCTACAATTGCTTTCAATGTAAAAAAAAATACATTCATACTAATTTCACATACATTTGAAAATAATTACCTTTCAACTTTTTAACCTTTATTCTTCAATAGAAGTTGTTATTAACAACGAGCTTTCGCCCGGGACTCCGTCCGCGTGGAATTAAAAAAACTAAGTAGCATATGTGTTCTTCCAGACTATACTCTACATCTATGCCAAATTTATCGAGATCCGTTCAGCCGTTTAGGCTAAAACATCCATCCATCCATCTTAACTTTCGCATTTTATAAAATTAGTAAGTAAGATTGTAGACAATTCGAACCTTATTTAAAATCAAAGACACAATAACATTCAAGATTTCACCTTAAACTTTAAAGTGTAAATTTAAACCTATAATATAATATAAAATTTTGATACAAAATTGATTCTCAGTGTAAAAATAATAGTAAAATTATAAGTGATATGATAGAATATTCTCTAGACGACGGAAGCACGTAGTTTAGTAATTTATAAGATGATCATGTAGGTTAAGAGGCTGCACGTGTTGAGAAATATGAACGTTGACTGCACGTGTTCAAGTCCTACGAATATAATAAAAGGGCAGAGCTATTCGTTAAAAAATATAGCTAAAAGTACCCATCCAACATATTACATATCTTAAAAAATCTTTTAAAATTGAATTATTTTCTTTGGATAAATCTCAATAGTGT